GACAAGTACCATATGATCTCACTTATATGTGGAATCTAATGAACAAAATGAACTAACAAGAAAAATAAGGACAGATTCATGGATAGAGAGTGGGCTGACAGCTGTCAGAGGGGGGCGGTTGGGAGGTCTTGGTGAAAAAGGTGAAGGGATTAAGCAAAAGAAAGAATGAAAGAAACAAACAAACAAACAAACAGAGTACATTAAAGTGTTTTTAGTCCAGCACCTGAATTTCTTTAGGCATGGCCAGCTCTCGTTTTGATTTTTGGTTCATATAAATTCCTGTATTTGTGGTCCTCAGGGCACACCTGCGAGCACAGTTGGAAATGGGCAGCAGGAAGGAAGTCTATTCATTTTTATGTACGGAACCTATTTATAGCCTACCTCATGCTCTAAAGAGGATTTAAGGCTTCTGACAAAAATAACGACAAAATAACAGGATAAAAGTTTTCACCACAGGCATATGGACAGATTCTTCTCCCCTAGAAGTCCCCAACTACTACTAATCTGCAAGCAGCAACAGCTCAAATGGAAAGATCTGTGAGGAGATAATATCTTGGACTTGGAAAGCATCCTCCTCTGCAGTCCTAATTTCCCTTATGCACTCATCCTCAAGAGGCAAGGAGAGGCAGGGACCACAACCTCTACTTTAAACTCTGGTACCAGAGGGTCTTGCCTGTATGAAAAAGGATGTCTGCACCCAAGTCTTCTGCTCTTCCCATCGAGGGAAAAAATAATTCAGTTCTTTCCAAAGAAAGAGTGCATGGTATCACTCTCAAAACCAGAAACCCTGGGGACCACCTCAGGAGGGGAAGGAACCCCACCCAAGTAATTAGCAAGATGCCCACTCATCCCAGGAGATGCTCAGTCATCCCAGATGCAGGAGTCTTGGTACCAACCTCCATGACCAGATTTAGGAGTGTGTAACGTGACTGTGGGCTTTCTGGGAAAACTAAAGCATGAATATTGAATTTAAATTTTATCTCTGTGTGACTGCAAAAAAAAAAAGCTAAAAAATAAATTTAAGGCACACTAATCCAATATACAATAGATCATGAAAAGCAATGTAAATCTTTGCTAATAGGGATTCCATTCATAGAAGATATAAACACTTCTTAAAATTCTTTTTCTCCACCCCCTCTGCCTTAACAGAAGCTGCCTCACCCCAAGGGAATAGCCAGTGGATTTGGTCCAGGACAGCTGTCCTCTAGGTAGAACCCAGGCATCAGCATTTTTATAGCTCTCCGATGTGCCACCAAGACTGAGAACCACTGGTCTGGAGGCTTTGGCCAATCTACACCCGTTTTGTGCTGGTTACACTGGATTAAGGTTTCATCCCCCACTCTCCTCTATACTCACGTTCAATTACTATAGCCCGGCAGCTTCCCTGGCAACCTTTTAATCCACAGCTTACTATGTTATACATCAAAACGGCATTTGTTGCAACGAAGAGTTCTTTGAAATCTCACACTTCCCACTATCTTTTTGCTGAAAATCTTTTTTGTCTTTTTTTTCCCTTTTTCTTTTTTTTCCCTGCCACAGCCCATGTTGCACTATATTTAAGTGCTCAGTCTTAGCTACATAGTGGTTTAAAAGAATAAGAAGAAGGAGGTCAAGGAGAAGAAAAGAAAAGAGCTGACACGTTTTAGTGGCAAGAGTGTGATTTTCTCCCAATCAAGAGCTCGGTTTCTATAAGGTCTGAACCGAAGTGCCTCAGGTTCGATTCCTGGTCCGGGCACATACCCAGGTGCAGGTTCAATCCCTGGTCAGGGTGCATACTGAAGGCAACCAATCCATGTTTTTCTCTTTCCCCCTCCTCTTCCCCCTCCCCCTCCCTCTCCCTCTCCTTTCTTCTCTCTCTCTCTAAAAAGAAAGGATAATTGTGTGATTATCATATAACAGGATAAGAAGTGGTGTCAGTCAAGCATCTGCTCTTTGTACAGGCTCTCATCAATACATTTAAAAATGAACTTATTAGATCAGAAAAGAAATTGATTCTGCACACGTGAATAAAGAGCTTCCTATGAGATACTAGCATGTTTCCAATCAATCCATCCACCTCACCTATAACATGAAACTTTTTCTCCCGATTCTATCTTGACGAGACAGCTCATTCCACAATCAAAAACTGAGCTCTCTCTTTCCAAAGCTTTAGAGGCAATATGTTTGTGACAGTGAGTATTTGAAACCATGGATCTACGGCATCACCTTAGAAAGCCATTCAAGTTTTCTGCTTTTCTCAGGAATGAAATGCTCAA